TCATATATTAACGTTTACTTGCAAAGTGAGACGGCTCACTGTATCACAGCATTGCTATGTCAAACATGCTGCATTTTCACAGTAGTTTTGATTTAAGACTTTTAACCTTGTTTTTATCACCTGTATAAATTAGGCACGTGCAGAAGGAGAGTGTGCTGTGGTTCCTCTGGCCCTGGACAGGCACAGGCCAGCCAGAGCCAAAGCTGAGAGATGGATGGAAGGCGAGAGCTTCACCTGCGGGCCCCGTGCTGAAGGTCAGCTGGGATCTGCCACTCCGCAGGCGCTTCTGTCCCCAGTAGGCGACGGCCTGCACCTGCGCTCGGTAGGCCGAGTTTGGCTGCAGGCCCTGCAGCTCCAGTTCCCGCATGGCCTGCCGGGCGGCGCAGTGAGCGCAAAGCTCCAGTTAGACATATTATGGGGGGTGTCCAGTGTCTACACCAGAGATGCCCAGTTCCAGTGCAGAAGGGCCAGATTTCCCTGCTCGCATACATCTAAATAATCTAATTACCAGGTTTACTAGGTGAGTTTGAGCAGGGAAATCTGGAAACTGTCTTGGATTTTGGGTAACACTGGTCACTACACACAATGTAAGTCACTAAATTAAGCCATTAAACTCAACTTGTTTCAGGATAAGGAGATGGAAGCAAACAAAACATTTTATTATTTGACCATTTATCATCTTAGGTTGGTACTTCTTTTCTCATCTGGAGAGATTTCTTTCATCTGAATATTTTGATAACTGAAGAGCAAATTTCCAAAACTCATTGACCTAAAGTCAAGGTTCCTCAAGAACCTATACTAACTCTGTCCTTCATGTAAATCGATGAAGCACTTCTGTTAAATTGTCAAAACTCACTAAATCCTCAGAAATTTTCTTGAAAATGGTTCCCGTGGGCCGAGTTTTGGAAATTTGCTTCAATTGCTTGAAGCTTACTGAGGCGTAAGTGGTCAGTGTGACTCAGTGGAAAGGCCCATGTGTCTCTCTGTTGTGTGTGTCTGTCACATACCCCCTCGGTCACCCTCGTGCTCTCCCTCCTGTCCCGGCCCGAGGGGCGGACACCGCAGGCCCTCCATGACACTTTATAGTGGTGCACCTCCAGATCTTCTTCCTCGGGGGGGTCCCAGAGGAGCAGCACGCTCACGGTCCCGTCCGGTCGCTCCCTCACTGCCCCCTTCCGTAAGCTCCGGGGAGTCGCCGGGGGCAACGGCTCTGGAGCAAGATGGCAGGGGCGTCTCTATAGTACCGCCCAACTGGTACAGCGCTTACAGGGAAATGTTCATTTTAATACCGTGAGACCGTCATACCCAGGTCATAAGCGGGTCATAATATGTTATGACGCTTGTCATGACCTGGTATAACCATGAGGACTAGGTATAAGCTAAAAGCTACATGTGATATTCCGGTGACATGTTATAGATTATATTTCTATAATGTAACTACAGTGAAGATCCTGCAGAAATAATATGATCCAAGCCACATGTTTTATCTTCTGTGTATGTTGAAAACGATATATAAAACTCCCACTACTCCACTCAATTTTTTATTCCTTCGCATAACCACTAAAGTTTTCTCATTCAGCTGCATGTAACCACAACAATGTGCAGCATGTGACCTCCTAATGACATCAGCGTTGTATCTAATACGAGAGCCCCAAGATGAAGAGCTTTTCATACATCTGGTCAATATGTGTCTTTTCTGGCTGTTATTTTATAGGATCTGTGCTTTGAACAAAGAAAAATACAGAAAAACCAGGGGAGCGGAGAGCTTCCTGAAAGATGATACCCTCTCTGGACAGTGAGATCGCTCCACAGAACAGACGGGGAAACTGCGGCATGGGTCTGGGGGCCGTTCAGTCAAATCCGTTGGTGGAAATGAGAGCCAAGGGCCCAGACCAGCTGCCTGCCCCCTTATGCCCATTCCCTAAACCAGTGCTTTACAATCCGGTCCTTGGAGACAGTCCATGTTTTTGCTCCCTCCGGTAGGGAGCAAAAACGTGAACTGGCTGGGGGTCCCCGAGAACCAGACTGGGAAACACTGACCTGAGAAACTCCACGTTATATATTTGGAGCTGTCAACAAGTTAATGCTTCTTTCAGGGACGGTCACCTTTCCAAGGCCTGAGGGAAGAACCTTCTATGACTGGTCTCTTTGTAAATTCAACTTGCCAGGAGGCAGAAAGCAAAAGACCTGTTAAATAAACCATGTCTCTAATGTGCCACAGCAGTTAAACAGTTTATGACTATTGTGGATTTAAGGTCTCAGTGTTAATTCAAAATATTTTACAATGTTCCACATCCCAAACTTCCTAAGAGCTGCTAGCTGGAGTTATTCTGGTTGAAGTAGGTCAACCTTTTTCAATTCTTTTAAAACGAAAAAAGCTGTCGACAGCCAAATTAAGGAGTCGGCTGTCGACGTTTGAAAGGTTCACACTTCAGCAGTCGTGTGAGAATCCTCGCTGCCCTCATTTGTTGTACAAGATGAAAGAACCTGGGCTTGATTAGAGAGACGCGAAAGCCGGCGACTCCGTGGACGAATGGAAAGGGCAGCAGGGCGTTACAGGGGAGACGGGAACTAGCAAACCTGCTCCGCGGACATCTGACTCATCTCCACAAAAGGAAAAACCGCCAGATGCTGTCTTTCCACCTTTCCTTTGACGGATGTGGAGAAAAAAATCAGAACGCCCTGCTCTTATGAGTTTGAGAGCAACAAAACAAAGAATGAAAAGAAAAAATATCCTCGCAAATATGCTTTCCATTCCACTTCTGACCATGATGTCTATATTCATGCTGCCTGCAAATAATTATATTCTGTGTTCCTTTTGTGATGGTAGAGCGGGAAGTAGGGGCAGGAATGGCAGTAGGGGGGGGGACAACGTCTTTGTGGCCACAAGCTGCAAGAACCACGTCCTCCGATAACGTGGCGTGAACCGATCTAATTCAGTTGTCTTTGGTCCGTAAACCTAGGCGAACCAATCCAGCAAATTACAGCTCTCTGGGGGAGAGGCCGGGGGAGGGAGACAGGGGGCTGTGGTTGCATCCCGCACGTGTTTACTGGGATGGGGGGGGGGCAGGGGGTGACCCTGAGTGGCGGCACACGCTGCGTTACATCTCACATTCACCACTGACGGGAGGCTGTGTAAAGCCCCCTAGGAACGTCAGTCACAGCACAAACTAGGCACCCATGCGTTTGAAAATCACAAAATGTATAATTATCTGTGATGGACTGGCGTCCCATCCAGAGCGTAGCCCTGTGCTCCATGAGGGGCTCCAGGACGTCCATCTACCGCCTAATCAGATAGAAGGCAAACCAATCGTCCAATTAAATAATTATACCTTCGTCACCATCCGCTAATTTATGCATTCTTTGCCAGGAAGATGTGGAAACACACACCAGTGTGTCACAGGAACAGATGGATTTCCCAAAGCAGTTTTAGTTCGAACACAAGAACTCGTGGCCATAGGTGGAGAACATTTTCAACTTGATTTGAGGAAGCACTTCTTTACATAGCGTGTAGTTAGAGTATGGAATAGTCTCCCTGTTAGAGCAATTAGGGCTAATTAATTTAGAGGGACAAGCTAAAACCCTGGGTTCCTTTAAATCAGAGCTAGATAAGATTTTAACAACTTTGAGCTATTAGTCGAGTTCTCCCCAAACGAGCTTGATGGGCCGAATGGCCTCCTCTCGTTCTTATGTTCTAGCAGACCCAGAAAAGACAAACCCTGCAGCTCAGAGTTACCCATGAATGACACTTTGAGGGTGTCGCAGTTTAGCCATCAGTTTGTGAGCAGAGCGGGGAAGTGAGGTCCCGGCCTGTCGGTGAGGCTGTTTTGACTGACAGCTGAATGAGCCAGTGAGAGCCAGGTGCAGCTGTGGCCCAGTCCGGGATTGTTGTGGGCGGGGCCTTACCTCGCGAGGACAGGAAGTGCCGACTGGGGGCGGTGAAGCCACGGGTGCCCTGGCTGTTGACCGCGCTCACCCTGAACTGGTACCATCTGTGGGGCCGCACGTCCTTCAGCGCCACCCGCTGGCCCATAGTCTGCAGGGTCAAGGAACAGGTGGCGGGGTAGCGGGGGGGGGGGGTTAGGAAAACAAACTCTAACATTCATTCACCTGCCCAGGGCACATAATGGCTGCCTGAACGACAAATCCTGCATGGGTCTGTGGAGGGTCAGCAAGACTCTGACCCTCCAGCCTCGATCCATCAACCTACGCTCCGGCAGGCGTCGATTTGGGAAATTTCCCGTGGGCTGGTCCAATGGGGGCCGGTCGGCAGTACAATGTACCGAGGGGGCAAATTATCAAATTGGGGCTGCAGATTCCCAAGCTGCTAGATTTTGCCAGTCTGCCCCCGGCTTTAGGTGTCCAACTACAGATTACCGTTCATTTACCTTTTATTATATATTTCACAGACGTCATTATGAAAAGTGATGTACAGTTGGGATAGCTAGTTCCCCGAGCAAACGGCGTCTCACTCAAGGTCCCAAAGGTGAAATATCTCAGCCAGCAACCTTCCGATCACAGCTGCCTATTCCCGAGCCACTCTGTCCCCATACAGTCAGCGGTCAGGATTAAATGAACCGCAGAACCACAGTGCTGAGTGGTGGGACCGCCTGGTGAATCACGACAGCAGACGACCCCCCCGCCCCCCCGCCCCCTTTACGGGAACCCCGCCATTTTCAGCCCGCCGGTCAGAAATAGGGGCTGCCATGATTCCGCAGCTGAGGAACCAGCTCTTGGCACAGAAAGCGAGTCGCGCAAGCGGCTGTAATTACGGGACTGCGGGTGATTGCTTCCAGACCCCGGCCAGTGCGAGCGGCAGGGCCAGCGATCAAGGGGAAAAGCGAAAAGGCCGAAAAGGGGAGCCCCTCTCCCCCCGAATTAGCTAGCAAATTACCTCCTTCATGTTTATTAAGTTTGTCTTAAGTCAGTCTCACTTAACCAACCACGGGCTATAGGTTACAGAAGTTAACGTTCCCACCGTAGCTTGTGAGGAGCGCGCACACGAATTTACACGAGTAATATCTCTTGGGAGAATCTTTATGCCATTACTGCGAGGGATCGGCCTCTCTCACCATGGCGACGGTCTGCCAGCGGGTGGCGTCATCCTCGCTGGGGTGGATGCCCTGATTCCAGCGCCTCTGCAGGACATAGAGCACCGGCTCCATGGAAACATTGAACCTGGACGTCCAGAGCACCTCCAGCCGGCCCCGCGAGTCTTCCAGAAAGGTCATGTCCTGCCGGGGACGCAGCGGAACACCTGGCAGCCAGGAGACGGCCGAAAGCAGAACCACACCGTAAGCCACTCATGTCCATCACAGACGCACCAATCCATCTGTAGAGGTTTTATGGCTTATTAACGGATATCGCAGATTTGGCTAGTATTAATACGCCAGTGCAAATATAATCTATCAGCACCGACTGAAAGGCCCTGGCTGTATTGACGGATATTCCATATCTGTCCATTTCATTTTCAGATTCCATTATTTTCACTGGAATTCCAGTGCTGTGAATGTAACATTTAGACTCATATTGGCAAACATGCATTGGCCATATGCATTTTAAAGACGGATGGATGGATGGATGGATAGATGGATGGATGATACATGATTTTTGCACGTTCTTGCCGTCTTTACAATCCCCCCCCCATCACGAGGTATTTAATGTGGAGAAACCAGAAGGAGCCGCACTGATGTTCAGGTTCAGTATCACGGCCTGGGGAGCTTCCGGCAGCAGCTGATTTGGGAGCGGAAGCTGAAGCGAAACGCCTCTCCGGCACACGGACGGCTCACCCTTGTAGAGGTCCGCCGGCGCCTGGCAGGTGTGTCCGCAGTCGTTGGGACAGCACTTCCTGTGGGCGGGGCAGTCGCGGTCCGCGCTGCAGCTCTCCACACATGCGGCGGCGAAGCCCGAGGCCCTCTGCGGGGCGGGGCAATCCCCTTGCTTGTGCGCCTGCAGGGACAGCAGGAACGCCCAGCTGGCTGCGCATTCGTGATGCTTCTGTTAGGGTGACCGCAAGGCATTATGGGTAACCAGGTACTGACTCCAATCAAAAGTTAACATTGACTCGTTCGCCCTTTTTTATTTTGAAAAATATTCTGAATCATTCACTTACTCAGGTATTTCTCAACCCCAGGCTTCATTTCATCATAACTACTTTTAAATTAGCTTTTAATGACTTATTGGAAGAATCAATTTATTCAAATCACACAGACTGCTGTAAATGAGCTCACTGTAATTTAAACTAAACTAGTGCTCATCACTGGTAAAAGTCTCTAACAACTGCTACTGGTGGGTTTGTGCAAACGAAACATTCTCTTTATTTGGCCAAACGAAATACATTCCATTTGAACTAATACTGAATTTAGATCATGCGCAAGCTAAATAATTCAGCTGTCAGTAATGATTTCTGGAAACAGGGTCCTGTGAATTTTAATAAGCGAAATTTTTTTGAAAGAGAAACATCCTGTTTACCGAACACTTACAGCGAGGCTCCAGATTATTCCTTGGCTGCGGCAAATCTGGGAATCAAATGACTGAAAATTACAGCGGGTCTTCATTTCCTGCATTTGGCACTGAGCGTTGAAGTGGATTCATTCAATCAACAGTTCAGTAAGGGCTAATTAATTTAGAGGGACAAAAACTACATCCAAGGAAGTCTCAGACTGAGAAACCTCTCGATGTAGCCTGAGCTTTTACCAGAGATCTTGCAAGATTTCGCTTACTTTTATCGGAGATCTCTGAGTCACACACCTTTCTCAGTGGTCCAGCATCAACGGCTGAGGTTCTGACTGACAACAGTTGGGTCTCAAACCAGACCTTTATCTTACAGCCAATCTGCTCCTTTGCCTCATTACAGAGCAGAATGGCAGTGATATTCCCCAGATAGCATCAACAGTTTATGGAAAAATAACAAAGTGTGGCTACAGGTTATGAGCAGAGTGGGTCTAGTTGGAGCTTCTAGAATCCCCTCGACTGTTAAACATCCCGATTCATTACTGCAGCCGGTGCCTTTCAGACTTTATGTAAACAAAAGGGTCCCTTCGTTTGAATAGCCACAAAGGAATAAACAGAACGACTTTCGTCCGCTGTTAGTAATGCTGACATGCTGTAATTACACATTAGCTTATTCATCATCCGAGTCAAAGACGATTCACGCTCCAGCATTACAGACTGCGAGTGGAGCCACTGAGGGTGTTTCGGTGACGTCGAACTCTAAGATGAGGGTAAAATTTCACCAGACCACCTATTTTCCATTTCTAATTAGACATAACCAAAAAAAAACATATGCTGACTTCATTTGATCATCCGAACAGGTTTACAATGAGATGACAAAATGCAGATATCTTTATCTGGGAGGGGGCTTTTCCCCACCTATTATTACAAGTGTGGCCATTTCCTGGATCAACTCTCCACACGCACCCCAAAAAATCTTTTTTCTTTAGTATTATTTTTGTTGGAAGAGCTCATTGCCTCTTTACATTAATATTTCAACATTTTTGATTGGGCTAAACTTCGCTGTAATAAAAATACTTGCAGCTATGTTTTCCTTGGTTCACAGCGGGTGTCTTAATTAGGATCAACAGCCTGATAGGATCTTTCTGTCCTTGGCTTTACAGCCTTCGACTGGTCCAGAATCAACCCAAAGTTAACTCCCCCCCCCTCCCCCATCACCACGGACCCCCAAGTTAAACTTACTTCACATCCTTTCGGAGATGGGCTTTCCTTGGCTTCCCACAATTCTTTGCATGGCTGCAAGCACTATGGGTAAAAAAAAACACACACACTCTGGAACATAAGAAACACTTCGAAGATGACCCAAGATAATCAGAAGTTCTTGGAAGTTCCCGGAACATGTCAAAAGTTAGAGGTGTTAATATGGATGCTGTCGGTCCTTTAGGCCCCTGGTCATCTCCCTGGACAGACCCCACACCCCAGTCAAACTCCAAAAGAGCTGGTTTCATGACAGCTTTAAGGCTGTACAGCCTGAACTGCACATGGCAGTAACCTATGGTTAAACTCATATCCTTTTTCGATATTAAAATAATTGGACCTGCGGTCAGCTCAGAAAAGGACACCAGCTCCACTCACACCAAGAAGCCTAGCAAGTATCCTCACATGACACACCTACGGTACCTGATTATAATATGTTTGCTCGCTTTGCGTGACAAAAACAGAGAACTGTACTGGGCCGACGAGTCCGCCACATCTGCACGAGGTTCAAGGTCGTCCGGGTTTTACAGAAGCATGTTGTTTCAGTCGTGTTTTTTTTTTTCCTCTTCGTTTTCGTTAAATCAATTTTAAATTGCCCGTTGCCTTTCACAATGAGCTGGAAAATTAGGCAAAAGAAAACTCGAGAATTCACGCAAACAAGTTAAGGAGACGAAGACAGGAGAGTAGTTCTTATGGCGGGCTGATGACGCCGCTGAGAAAGCCTTGCTCCGAGGAACTGCTGGCACGGTGCCGTCTGATCGAGCTCAGAGCTGCACCGGGATTAAGCTGTCCGCAACATGGCAACCCGACACTGCACTTGGTCTGCAACATGGCAACCCGACACTGCACTCGGCCATGACCTTCAGCTGACAGCAACGTGTCAACATTTATCAAACGCGCCTCTCTCTCGGATCGCCTTTTTACTCCCCATGTGTAGGGGGGCGGCGTATATAAATTTCTCTCAAATGAGCCAGGAAACATCTGTTATGTCTTAATAGGAAGCATCTTTCCAACATCTGCCAACATCTATTACACTTACAGCCTCATATCTGAACGTCTTGGTGCCCCGTCTGTGACGGCAAAGTGACGGACTGCGGCTTTCTGTCGTTACGGAAACATAACGCGGCTCCTTTCGCTTGCTGCGTTTTGCCCGTAGATGCTTCATGAGGAAAACCGTGTCACAACAAACGAACGCTCAAGTTCCTCCTCCGCAGATGTACTGCAAACCTCGGTGGAGCCAAACTCCTGGTATATGCCTCCTTGCAAGACCAGCTGGAGAACATTCTTAGGCCATGCACCCTTGTTTCTACATAGAAGGTAGGTGACACGGTTGGATCCATCTATCCAATTTCAACAGCCACTTACCTAGTCTGGAAGACAGTTATCTAGGGTGTTAAGCATGAGGCAGGAGGCACTGTAAACGCCAGCCAGAACGACTCAGCCACCAATTAACCCATCATGTGGGAAAAAAACAATGGAGGAATTGTGGTGAAACTCCAAACTCAGAAGCTGTGACGTAACAATATTACTCAGTGAAACAATCTGCTGCCCTCTTTAAGGATATGATCAGGATACTGTATATACGAGGAACTGAACAAATGGAGGATGAAAATGTACAATTAAACCGGTTTGATGAAAGTGAACAGGGAGGTGGACTCTTTGAGTGAGTGTGTGTGTGCGTGGGTGTGTGTGTGTGTGTGTGTGTGTGTGCGCGTGTGTGTGTGTGCGAGTGGGTTTACCTATCCTTATGGGGACATAATGTCCCCATAACGTGATAAATGTCCGTTTTTTTTCCCTTATGGGGACCGGTTTCCTGGACATGGAATGAATTTGACTTCAACTGTTGACATTTGTATACATGATTGCGTGAGGACATTTTCATCTTGAAATATGGGAACATCACGAAGTTTTCGCAGCACTGGGCATACCTGGTCCTGTAAAATGACCTCATTTTCCTTGGTCAGTATAGTTATTCAAACACATTATTGAACCTAATGACTGCCATAAAACTGCCGATATCATCATCATCATCATGCCAACAGACATTGTCAGTTTAGGCATCTATTAGCTTTTCCCAAACACAGACCCTTCCAGATGCAGATAGAAGGTAAAACGTGACCACATAACTTTTTCCATTGTTCATAATCATTTTTCATTGTTGCCCAGCAATAAAATTCAACTTTGTGATGCTCAGATCAGACGCTGACTCACTGTCCATGTTGGTGAGCGTCTAGTTGTTACTGCTGCTCTTCTATGCTGGTGTAGTTTATCTATGCTTGATATACACTGTCATAATTTCTGAGTTGGATCCTCTGGACACATTAAATAATGTCGCACAGACTATCGGCATCTTTGGAGCTCTGTAATTTGCCTCATATTCCTGGTTGTTAAGTCTTATTTTATAGTGGCATTCAATCTAATACAACGCAGTTTTGTAGCTGTGCTGCTAATTGAAATTAAATTCCTTCTAAGGTAAAGTCCTTTCCCTCGCAATGTTCACCTTATTTTGTCCACCCCCTCTATATGTTTTACAGCTCAGATACGAAGTTCACTTCCAGTAAGACAGAAATAACATGCAAAGTGTTTTTAACCACGGAAACATGTGAAGTCTCTCTGGCAGCTTTGCAAGGTTGTACTGGCTCCTGTTCAATGTCAGAGGTCATGTGTTCTGTGGATTAATACAATCCGGTAACGTAAAACCATATTTGGCTCCGGTGAAGCTGGATCATCGCAACAACTTGCACTTCCTGTTTGGCTCCCATCGAGCTGCTCATAAACGGCCTATCTGGAATATTCTTCTTTGGGATAATGGGAACCATGACAATGACACGTCTGGGATGCCTGGCTTTGGGCTTAGAGGTTTGAGGAAGTGACCCCAAGAACTCAAAGAATTACATCAGGAATTACAGCACCGAAGGAACCAGGGTGCATTCCACAGCATTCTTATTAAAAATACCCTAGTGATCCTGCCATATCTCCCCACGAGCGTTTAAAATCAGCAGATCCTCCGAGATAACAAAACAGTATAACAGCAAAAATAGAGGCATTTTCACATTTAAAAATTTGTTTTTCAGCTCCCATGATCGTGGTAAACGATCCAAGAAGCACACAGAATGTAGGATGCATGAAGTCCCCCAGTAAGGACCTAATGTAGCCATTTAAGCACAGCCTGTATCCTCCTGCGTCTTTTCAGTATCCCAGTGCTCTTCCCAGTAATGCTCGATTCACAGAAATGCATTGTGGGGAGGCTTGTGCCAGCAGGCCTACCTTCAGAACCTCTGTATGTCTGTCCTCGCCTTCATGCCATTGGTACAAAAACAGGTGTTGGGGTGAATATGTTGGGGGGGGGGGGGGGGGGCACAGCACAAAGCAGAGGATTTCCCTATGCTCTTGTTGGTGGCTGTCTTTGGCAGCATTCAGTACTTGTATGTAAAATTCCAATCAGCCAATATAATTATATGGAATCTCGGGTATATTTTGTGTTTCATGCAGGCAGGAAACACCAAGACACACTATTGGAATTCAGTGCTTTCCGTAATGTATCCAATTCAGACAAGGAGTACAGCTGGAGATGAAGTCCTCTGAAAGGAGCTTCACTCATGAGGTCGACTTCACATTTCACTCTTATCAGCAGTGCACCATTTCGCTGAGGTGCTGAAGTGAAACTCCAAGCCCACAAGCTCCACAGACAGCCTGACCGAAGTCTGAACCCTTTGCTACGTGCAGCTGAATTTGTTTATCCCTCCCATGCTTGTTTAGCAGACATAAACATCCACCATTCTGTTTCTCTCCTTGTCTGGGATGCCTTCCTCCTTCTGTGAGACTTCAGATGCAACAGGCTGCTCCTGTGGCCAGGGACCAATGCAGCTTGCAGCTGCACATGCATGCAGAACGATCTCACAGGTGGCCATGCCTAAGACTCCAATACAGGGGAAAAGAATTACTGGAATTTGAATGTCGGATATCAATAGGAGAAAAGAAAATGGCTGGAAATTGAATGCTGGTTATCCAATAGGAGAAAAGAGAACGGCTGGAAATGGAATGTGGGTTATCCTATAGGAGAAAAGAGAACAGCTAGAAATGGAATGCTGGTTATCCAATAGGAGAAAAGAAAATGGCTAGACATGGAATGCTGCTATCCAATAGGAGAAAAGAAATTGGCTGGAAATGGAATGCTGCTATCCAATAGGAGAAAAGAAAATGACTGGAAATGGAATGCTGCTATCCAATAGGAGAAAAGAAAACGGCTAGAAATGGAATGTGGGTTATCCTATAGGAGAAAAGAGAACAGCTAGAAATGGAATGCTGGTTATCCAACCAAGGCTAACAATATAACTGGAAGTGCAATTCCCGTTATCCAAAAAAGTAGTTTTCCATGCATATTCCACACAGCACACCGGTGTGTAACTGATCCTGATTCCATTTCATTAGCATGTTAGAGATTCTTCGTGTTGCACCAGACGCTCAGTGATAGAGAGGCGTTTATCGTAGCTGAGAGGATGACCTGGTGGATCAGGCCCAACAATGTGGGCCCACAGCACACGGACATGCGGAAGACACTCCTACTGCGGAGTTCTGCCAAAACGTCCATGGAATTCATTGTCAATAGGCTGCTGATTTATGCTCGGCATGTCCTCTACCGCCTTATGTGTTTATATCCTGTATCCGACTGGACAAATTGGCAGGACGGATTGGGCGCCCTGATTTACAGTGTCACACTGACTTTAGTGAATTCAAATCCAGGAAAGGAGCACAAGTACACGTTCATTTCCTTCAGTGTATCCTCTATTAGTGCTGCCTCTGAGAGCCAGTCAGTGTGGAGTCCTAATTCCCCATCATTTATGTGATATATGTCCATATGCTGGCCACACGAGCGCTTGGATGGGCGCATGACTGTGTATATTTACAGATGTCAGCATGTGGTAGAATTACCTGTGTAATGAATGCTAAGAAGGTGGTTCAAGTCAAGTACGACCAAAAAACCCCACCCAAATAAATCGCCGCCACTGAAACATACCAAAGGCTAAAAAGTTGATAAATCTTATTTAAAAAGAAGTAAAAGAATGACTCCTGCCATTATAGGAAAACACATAAAGTAGGTGCAGAGTAGGTGCTCATTTGCTTAGTATTTCAGGGTTTTTTTCCAGAATCCTGCTTTTCCACGATGTAATACTGGGTGCACAGAAAAAACACAATGATTTATGAAACTGTGAAAATGTAAAAAAAAAAATGCAGTAGCATTCATTAGCTACCTATGGTATGTAACAATAAAAGAATTTACCTCACAGAGATTAAACCTGATGCTTCTCAAAGCCTTAAACGGCTTCAAATGCCTCAAATGAATTTGTCACAATAAAGATTTTATAAGCTGCTAAAGGTTAAAGGCATTGGTTCATCCAACCAGAACTCAGAACCAGCACCAGAATCTTTACAGGATTCGCACCAAGCCGGGTACGATATCCGGGTACATTAATTCATGCATGATCTGACTCCAGCAACAACTGCTAAACCGTCTCTTTTAACAGTGACGAATTGCACTCTGTGGTGAGACACTAGCAATAAGAGTAAGAAATATTGAATGGGAAGGCTATAAAAACATTCTCTTTCATTTCGATGGGACCGTTTTTATAGCCTTCCCAAGGGGACCTTGGTGAATAGACTTGGAAACAACATTACGAGAAAAAAAGCTTGTTAAAAAGAAAAAGTGAATGAGTGGGAATGGCCCAAGTTTTCCATTATACAGAAACTTCCACTAAAATAAAATGTCCCTCGTTTTGCTGCGGCCAACTGCCCCTTGGGCTGATATCCCAGGTAGAAATGAAAACTGTGGTTTAACTCACAGATTTCTTCAATACCTTCCACACTTCCATTGTGCCAGTGTGTTAATGTTGAGGTCGACTAATATTGCTGCATGTAATTACTTATATCTCAGTTTGCTCTCTTTGTGCAGCTTGGCACTAGAGGAGGCCTAGTTAAGTAATAAAAAACCAAATGCAGCTTTTCTTGGGCATGGTGAAATGGGGGCAAATGTTGTATCAATAAAAGCTGAGCTAAGTTCCCTAATCCTAGTGGAGAGGCCTACTGTTAGAGGCCTACTATTAGGGCTGGGACAGCCTGAAGCCGCCAGTGCTTAACGCAGTGATCGCTCTACTCACTGGGGTACTCTGTTCTGCCATTAGCTCAATGGCCAGCCAGCAGATCAAAAGTCAAAGCCTGTCACTTCAAGGACAGAGAGCAGTTGGTATGGGCCAGGCAAAGGCAAAGCCAGTCAGCTCAATGGCTGGCCAGTGGGTCAAAGCCCATCGCTTGACGGACAGAGGGCAGCTGGTATGGCAAAGGCGAAGCCAATCAGGGCTTGTGAACGTCGAAGCGCCGAGCAGAATAGGGGCTAGACGAAAACCGTTCCTTCTTCAGGCACTACGAAGGAGCCGGCTGGAAAATCTCCTAAATCACCCTGAACAGGAAGAACACTAATGTCTTGTAAGAACATCAAGGTGCTCTTGTTGAGTCAGAATATCAGAGCCATACCGCAATGGTTGTGCTCCAGTTCCTCTTCAAGCAGGAGATTCAGGATAACTAAAGCCTCCAACTTCATCTCCCACGGGGAAGACCAGAGACCTGTCTCCTTCTGCTATACATCCCTGACCACGCCTAGTCACGCTGGAATAAGTATATGAGCTAAATGAGTA